TATCTTAATACTTACTCATTTGGATTATCCTAAAAAATTTATTCCACCACCTTTTTGAGGAAATTTTTTTGTGATCCATACTACGGAGTATTTCTCTTTCTTCTATACAAATTAGAACCATAAAAATTCTAATTATGCGACGGACTTGACAGAGAAAGTAATTTTTTTAAAGAAAATATTGTATGCTCCATTTTTTAGATGTTATTCACTCTATTAAAAGGTAGTATTTTTTATACTATTGTCAAATTAATGATGCACAAAGAGTCAATGCTTCCGCCTTCGCTGGAGCTCGAATCTGGGTGAACTTCCCTAAGAATCCTGAAGATTGAGCTTGCTACCACTCAGAGGAGAGGTTCTATATTAAAAATCATGTAGAATAGGAAAGGTAAGTATCTTTTCCTAAAAGACGAATACATTCAACCATAACTCAATAATTGCCATTTGCCAAACAGGTTAAAAAAGGGTCATTGTCCCTTAAGAAACAAAAGCCAAATTGAAAAATACAAAAGAAAATATCCACTCATATGGGTGCAAACGATATAGCAATATAGGTAGGTAACATCATGGGCTTTTATAAGCCAGTTTGGCATTGTTATACGATTGGAAACACCAACATGTGCCGTGGAGCTTTCAAAATCACATCACCAACTTTTCACACACAACTAATAATTGCTCCTTAATAAGATTTAAGAAAACAGAGCATCACACCATCTCGAAAAACCAAACATATTTACACTCACAACACTCTATAGTTTATGTCATTAATATATATAAATCACTGAAAGTGGAGAGAACTAATGCAGTTTTAACCTACCATACCTGCTTCTTGTACAAAGTGCTGCGTCAAGGCCGAAAGCCGGGCAACTTCGGTATGAATTTCAGCAAGGCATTCGCCGTTACTGACTCCAATGACATTAGTGTCGTAAGTTGAGGAGAACGAGCTCTTAGACTCCTTTGCCCTTCTTAGTTCCTTCTCTTGAGCACCCAGCTTCTCGAGAGCTGATTTGAGCTCTTCGTCTTTGAGTTTAAGGGATGTTTGTGCAGCAAGAACTTCGGTATATCTAGCCCTCAAGTTTTCTCTGGTAAGCGCAAGTTCATCTTCAAGACACCTTTTCTGCCACTTTAGACTGTTTGTGTGTTTATTCTCAAGTAGCTGCTGTGGCAAGCGGTTCCAACCCGCGTCGCTGAGTTGGGTTGATTGATCACACTGATCATCCTTCACGGAAATAACCATTTTGTTCGTCAGCTCCAAAATGCCCCCAACAACAGTCTCGGCTTCTGAAAATTTTAGTTTAGTCTCTTTTAATTCGCGGTGCATTGTCAGGACTTCCTCATCTTTCTCCTTCAGCAGAGATGTTGTCTGCATGAGCTGGACTTCTTTGCTTTTCATAAGTATTTTTAATTCAGTTATCTCCTCGCTTAGTTCATCAAACTTTTTCCTTGTGTTTAACAACTCTAAATCTTTTTCTTGCAATGCAAGCTGAAGAGAAGATTGCTCGGACTTTAGGTGGTGAATTTCTAACCTTGCTTCTACTAACTCTGACTCTTTCACCTTGAGAAGATTCTGAGCTTCCTCAAATTCTGTCCTCTTTAGTTCTAGCTCCTTTTGCATAAAAGACATCTCCTCAGTTGCGTCTTGTAGAGACGATCTTTCTTTATATAACTCATTCTGCAGCTCTTGAACAAGGACTTTTTCCATGGATAAATCCCTTTCAAGTTCCAATTTCTGAGCCTCAACCAGCCTGAGTTTCAGCTTCTCACTTTCAACCGCAACTTGAGCATCTTCCAAGAGTGTCTTGTAAGACATAATGTTTCTTCTTTCTTCATCGAGTTCAAGTAGCTGCTCTTGTAGCAGTCTTTCCCGATCTTTCAATTTCCGGCTTGAAGAAGCCAGAGCTCGTCGAGATGAAAGTAACTCGGACCTAACATCACCAAGCAGCTTCTTCACTCTTTTAAAATCCTCGTATGCAACATTTCCTTTCCTCCTGACGTGTTTTGACGTCGCTGCTGCTAATTTCTTCAACTCTTCCTGTGTTACAAGCCAATTCATGGTCAGTTTTTCCACATTGGCCTCCGCAACTTTGAGTTTATCCTTTTCCACATTCTGCATCATCAAAGAATATCCCAGCATTTTCTCTCTGTCTTGAATTGCCATCCTGAGATCACGAATCTCAGTCTTTTGTTTGCTGAGAACACCTTTTGCTTCATCGAGAAGCTGAGATTTGGATCTAAGTTCTGATTCCACACTGGCAGCTTCTTCACTCTTCTTCATCAAACAGTTCTTCATTTTGTTTAGTTCACCCTCTTTCAAAGATAAAGCCAGTTTGGCAGCAGAAATCTCATTATCTCTATCCTTAAGGCAAAATTTTAAATCTTCAATTTCCAAAGCTCGAGACGACAAAGAAAGGTTAGCCTGGTGTAGATCATCTTCCAGTTTTTCTCTCTTAGAACTAGCAGCAGCAATTTCATCATGCCGGGTCTCCAACTCCACCCTTGCACGACATAAGTCATTGTACTCTAGCATCACTTTCTTCTCTGCATCTTGTAGGTCTTCTTCTTTCTTCTTCAAGATTAACAGAGCAGCCTGTAAATCAGACTCGAGCTTGGGAAGGTTCAGCCAAAATTCAGCAACTTGAGGCAGATATGGATCTCTGTTGATCTGTTCTTCCAACTTCTGTTTCAAACTTTGCAAGAGAGCCCTTGCAGGCTCAGCGGCCACTTTGCCATTTATAATCGACTCCTTGCTGTCCAAGACGGACCTCACAGTCAATGAGAATGGGGCTTTTCTATTTTTTACTGCAATACTAGTTAACCTCTTCTGCTTGCATTTGGTCCTTATATCACATGCCTGAATGGAAATTGGAAGCATGATTAACATATGATGAATAAAAGTTTAAAAGGTATGACTGTATGAAAACTATGACTGTTTTATTCAATCAATTACGGTCCCTCATAGCGAATGTGGTTATAGTGTGGGCGATATTTGCTTGGACGCTCAAGCAGATAGGGAAAGTAATGGATGAGAAACATTTTCTATTGTTTGGTTTCTACTTGAGTGATGAAAAGTAAATGATTAAATTCAGTGAGCTTGTTGGGTTCCACCAAGGGTAAGAAGTAATTCTAAGAAAAATAATTTCCCTGCAAAGCACCAAACCAGACACGCCCTATGGCTAGTGGGTGCATTTCTTTGTTTGTTTGTAGGAAGAGGTGAATTAGCATGGCAACAAAATTACTCCGGCTGATTATTATGCTTTTCTTTGTGTTTGTTTTAGTATTTTCGTATATATAAAAGAATTGAAAAGAAAAATGTGTATTATCTGCCATGTATGCCCAAACAAGTAAATTTGTTTTTAGCTTAATACATTTTGTGGGTTTTGGATATATGGGTTAGATTTGGACACATGTGGGGGGGCTCACTCAATCAAAGCTGTGATATTGACAAGTTTTGGATGCTCTTCAAATCAATTTATTTATGTGCTCAAACAAAACAAGTATATATCCCAAAGAAGGAAAAAACATAAACAGAGAATATAAGATATATATCAGCCACTAATGAACCTTAATGAGAGTTAAATCAACATCAAACTCTTATGAATTATGATGGACATATTCAGAGTTTCAGCCCCGCCTTGCTGTAAGTGGTTTCTTAGGCCCCCGTTTCCTTAATTGTATTTAATTATGCCCGAGAAGCAAAGCTCGATCCACCAGGCGACAGAGGCCTGAGTGAGATGGGTTGTAATAGCCCGGGCCTAGAAGTGAGGCATAAGCCCATGTGATATGGGCTCCGGGCATAACCCACAAGCGAGACCCATCCAAAGGGCGTGGTAAAGGTAACAAGAAAGGCTAGATACATTGAGGAGGCGTTCCATCGTGACCAAATGTGATCTATTTTTAGCTCCATGAATTGTGGATCGGTCGGTTCGTTCCAACCACCAGATGTACTATAAATACACCCTCTCCTTGACTGAGATCCAACACCGGATACACAAGGAATATCTATAACTTCATCTCCCTTGGTATTTATTTCTAATCTTAATTCTTTTCATCATCTTTCTCGATTACACAATACATTCAGATATATCAGGGTAATTGTACAATTTACAACATTATACAAAAAACACATTCTAATAATCAATTTGTACAGGTAAAATGAGCCGCAAAAATTAACACAAACAAAAAAAACAATATTCAGAAGAGAAATGAGAAATCCTAAAAAAATTGCAGTGCAGAAAAACCTAAAGTCAACCTATATATTACTCTATAATCGTTAATCTAGGAACGTTAATTGACAATTTCATCCAGATAAATAAATGACCTAAGATATACGGAGCAGAAGAAGCCATTGATTTACCTGGGAAAGAGAAGACGAGGCGGAGAGGTGGGCGTGCAGAGAGGCCGACGACGCCATGACTTTTTCACCTCAGTCTCGGAGCCATCTGACGCGTCTCCGAGATTTCAGGAAGACGAAAGCGTACAGTGACGGGTGTATGTATCGACGGGAAACCTGGAGACGAGCTGAAGAACGGCGGAATGGAATCAAATCCAGGAAATCGGGTCCGCTGTATCTCCAAGAGGGAAAGACGCTCCGGATAGAGGCGCAAGTTATAAAAATAGACACATGGCGTAATCCGCTTTGCTTTTATCAGTTTTAAAATTTGATACGTAAATTAGTATGAAGTAATGATTTGATTGGAATAAGTTGTGATATGATTTTAATTAAATTGATCCCAATAAAAAATATAAATAATAAATAAAACTTCCTAAATAAGAGTAAAACACATGTCAGATCTTCAAAATAGAACCTCAAACTTAAAATCCTCTAAATATGAGTAAAATTAATAAAATAAAAAATCAATCCACAACCCCATTTTCTTCCCGACAGAATCTTATTCAAAAGCCAATCTTTTCCGCCGTCCAACATCTTCGATCCCTTTCCAATCTTCATCTCCGCCACCTAATAGTAGTGTCATAGCCGCTGCCACTTCTGATTCACAGCGACATCGCCACCACCATGCACCCCCACCCCCTATGATTCGTCTCCGCACCTTCTCAGATTTGCTACCTCACCCCACCTCAATTTCACACTTTTCAATCTTTCAGAAGTGTTTGGACTCCCTATTAGTATTTAATAGAATTTTTATTTTTCTTGAGCTTTGTTTGAATGCTTTCAGATGGCGATTCGGTGTTGGAAAATGAGAGCCAACTGTTAGATGGTCATCCGGCTGCCATAACAGTAGTTGTGAGATGGATAATGGTCACCGATTATATTATTGCAGGTTAGTGGTTGAGTTTGAAATTATCCATTTGTTTGACATTTTGAATTTGCAAAAGTGGCATTATACATGGTAATTTGTGACATGATGCATTACCATATGTGACATTATATGGTGATCTGTGGCATTATACATTACCATATGTGACATTATATGTGGTCATGTTTGGAATTATACCTTCATTGCTGTTAATATGGTACTGCGATGGAGACTGTGCAGAGTGTGATGGTGGTGTCGGCAATGGTGCAGAGTGTGATGGTGGTAGAGTGGTCGTGTCGTCGATGTCGGTGAAAAATAAAGGGCAACAATGTTGGATTTTTTCCGCGGTGGCACATCATCCCGGTGTGGGCGGAGTAAGCCAACGGCGGAGATTCAACTGAAAGTGGCATGCGGTAGAGATGCACTGGGCAACACGTAATGACGATGGCAGTGGGAGTGTGGCGATGGAGCGACGATGATAGGGTAGCGATGGCATCGACGTCACATACAACGGTGGCGGCAGGGGTGTAACAATGGTAAGGGTGGAGACGATAGTTAATTTAGGATTGTTTTTTTTAATTTGTAAATGTACTTAGTTTTAATTAGAATGGAAATGGGAGATAAATATTGTATTTTGTTTGCTATTAGCTACTGGAGAGTTAAAGTTTTGTTGGGGAGTATAAAAGAACTCATGTTTTTAGTTACGGAGTACTAACATTTTGTTTTCAACTTCAGAGTTTTTTATTTTGTAAAGATGGGATGCTTAATGGCTAAGGGTGATTAACTTCTATTTTGGTGATTAACTCCTACTTTTCTCATAAATAAATGAAACAAAAGAATTGACATAAGAAATTTTATTCTACGTGTATACATTATTTGGTTGGTGAGCAAATGGTGGGAAAGACAAAGAAAGACGAGGAAATACAAATTTCAATATAATTTTTCATGTTTAGACGAGAAAGAAAAAGGTAAGGAAAAAATGTATGTGGAACCTATGCCAAAACTATTCTCATCAACAAAGATGAGAAAACCTTTTCCTTATCTTTTGTTATTTTCTTTTCATTTTCTTATTATTTTATATCAATCCAAATACTAATTTTCTTCTCACCATTTTCTTTTCTTTCATTTTCTTTCCTCTCATTTTTTTCATCTCATTTTTCTCATCATCCAAACAACCTAATAATAGTATCTGAATTAAAAGTACAAGCAATAATCTATTTATAGGGAAAACCAAGGGTTTCAAACTACTTCGGAGTACATGGGACGAACGGATAAACAAGGCTCCATAAAGTTCAACACGCTACGGGATGAGTTTGTTATACCCAACAAACTTTACCTCAAATCAAGACCACACAATTCTATAGTCTCTTCTCGAGTGATTATATGATTTGATTCACTCATCATATTGCATCGCCACAACAATTTCGTAAAACATGTCTTCCGACCACCTGTTCCTGTCCAGAAGATTTTTGACACAAGGCATTAATCACAATTCCTCACTCGAGTATAGTAGCCCCTCATCTAGTCTTGTGTTTAATTTCTTGTGTCGAAAATCTTCTGGAATTGTTTCGTCAAGAAGTCTGCACAACACGAATTATTATCCACATATATCCTCTAGTTCTGTTCCTGTTGGTTGTTATTGCATCGATAACTTGCACATTGCATTCCACCACTCTTGCCTGCCTATGAACATAGGCTCTGATATCACATGTTGAGATCGTGCATACCTCCACCTTAACTTTGCATTAATATGATATTGCTCATTTTGGACTAAGCTCTCATGGATGTGTTTTTAAACACCTTTCAAAATGCCTCGTGCTTATGAGTTGAGTTGAACCTACTTCATCCGTTCCCAAATTAGCATCCTATTTTGAATAACGACATATGATTGAATTCATTTTCAGTTTTGATTTAAATAATAGTACACGATTTCAAAATACAATTTATTCCATATTTAATTCCTTTGTCACATAGTATTTGTTTAATTTTGATTTTTTGCAGTCAATCAGAATTGACCTTTGACCTATAATTAAATAAAAAAATCACCCAAATATTTAAGAGTAAAACATATGTAACATTTATCTTCAAAATAGGAGATTTATGTTTTTATCTCACAAAAAAGTTTGTACTGTGACATTATAACAATATATAGTGACATTTCACTTTATTGTTTAGTAATTATATTGACATTATTGACATTGTATTCCTATTTTGAGGATAAAAATTATGAAGCTCATATTTTATACTTTTTTCATAATTTACTCCTAGTTTAGTCATTTTTCTTTAAAAATTACATGATGTATTACTTAGATAAATTAATATTTTAGAAATATTTTACAAATTTAAAATAATAAAATTATTCTTGTATCAATATACAACATACGTTTTATTTAATTTATTTATAGTAAACGGTCATCAATTTTGATTACGAAAGAGTCAAAACTACGCAAACGTTCTAAGATTAAGGCAATATTAAAGAATTACTTCAAATACTATCTAAAACAATAGATAACATGATTATATTATTTTAATAAATAATTAATAAAAATAAGTGCATATAAGAAGAAAAAAATGACCAGTATATAACACAGTAAGAAGATTAATTAGGGATGGAAGAAGTATGTACTCCCTCTCATTGTTTTTGTTCCATTTTAACTTTTTTATTCATGCTACTATTTTTTTGTCTAAATCCATATTTAATTAGCCATATTTTGTAGTTCACAATCATTCTTATTTTATCTTACTTTGTAACATCAACACCAACCAAACAAATACGGAGTATATTTTTTTAACTATACTAGAAATACACAAAAAACTGTACCCCAAAAAGATGCACTGATATTTTCAAAGTTTACACTGACATAAAATGTTAGCGTACCGATAATTTGTATTTGTTTTTATGTTTTTATTAATTATTTGATAAAATAAAATATTTTTATCAGGACTTATGTCTTTTATAATTTTTTATATAATTTTTAAAAATGTAAATATTATTTTTTAGTCCTATACAAATTTATAAAATAATTAAATTTAAAAAATACAGAATTTTAAACATTCTTCGAATTTTACTTTTCCAAAATTTCTTTTTTACTTTTCCTGTCACCGCTTTGGTGACCTGTTTGGTGTTAGCTAATAAAGGAAAACAAAAATAATTCAAAAACCCACTTTCTTTGGACACACACCCACGAAAGCAATAGCACAAAGATTTGATCTTTTTTATTGGCAGTACTTTGGAAGAAGAGAAACCCCCCAAAAAAGAAGAAACCGCCAGCTGTTGGAACTTGCATAGTGCACACTAAACCAGAAAATTCACAGAAACACATTGAAGAGGGAGAAAGTACACTGTTCTCTTATAGCTTAGCTACTATAAACATCACCATATATACATCACAGGCCATAAAGAAACCCCTCAAGAAATATCATTCCAGAGAGAAAGAAAAGAAAAGAGAAAGAAAATGTTTGCAGCAGAGAATGGGCTGAGAGGTGACCCAAGGCTTAAGGGCATTTTTGAGGCCATTAGAGTCATTCCTCACTTCCCTAAACCAGGTCACCCCATCTCTTATAATCCATCTCCAATTTTCTTTCTTGATTTTCTTTAGTTTCTTGATTTTCTTTAGTTTCTTGATTTTGGTTTTACTTTGCTTAGATTTTGTGTCAATTAGAGTCATAGGGATGAATTGATGCAAATGCATGTTGTTAAAAATTTGTTGCAGGGATAATGTTCCAAGATATCACAACTTTGCTGTTGAATCATAAGGCCTTCAAAGACACTGTTGACATTTTTGTTGATAGATACAAAGACATGGGCATCTCTGTTGTTGCTGGTAAATCTATCTAAACAACACTCTGTGGCCATTCAATTTTGTGAATTTTTAAGATTTTTTTTTTATAAAAAAAAACATGTTCATGTGATTTTGGGTTGAACTAGTGAACCAATCAGATTCAAGGGGTACTGTTTGGAAAATATGGGTTCTTTTTGGAAATGTGGTACAAAATGCCAAATTTAGATTGTGGCATTTTCCCAAAATTTTCTTAGATTTGATTTGATTTGTAGCAAACAGTTTCATCTCAAATAGCTGCAAAGATTTTGTTGTGATTAGTTCTTTTGATTCTTTTGAAATTGTCTTCTTCTTCAACTGTTTAATCATTTGTTGTTTTTTTTTTAAAAAAAAATTGGACTTTTGCTACACTTTGCATTCACATTATTTTTCCTAGTTGGTGACCAATGATTAGCTTCAAGTTTTGTTGGCTATACAAGATTGCACTCTGACTGAATCTATAATTGTACTGTCAATTTGGCATGGAAGATTTTCTACCATAGTACTTGGTCCGTCCCTTAGTGTTTGTCCACTTTTGACTTTTGGAACTGTTCATCTAAGCACTTTGACTCATCAAATTCTCTCAATGTATAAGCCTAAAAATAGTCGATCTTGTTTGATTCGTCTTAACATATAGATTATTAATATATAATTTTTATAATTTTTGAATATACAAATTACAAGATAAAATGGATTAAAGAAGTGCATTGAATGGTGTGCAAAAATGAAAGTGGACAAACACTCAGGGACGGAGGAGTAAAAGTTATTCTAGAGGTTAAACACTGTTCACAAGTCCTCTGTTCATAGGACCTTATGAAATGTATTACACTCCAATTATATTTTATCTATTGGTAATACTTTAAACCGTATTTCAATGTTGGAGTACATTTTTACCAAATCAACAATGAAGGATTACAAAAACAAAAAAACCCAAATCAAACCCCTCTTGATTCACTATTGTCTTCTAGGAATTGAAGCTAGAGGATTCATGTTTGGCCCCTCAATTGCCCTAGCTATTGGAGCTAAGTTTGTTCCATTACGCAAGCCGGGGAAATTGCCAGGTTTGCCACATTTTCTTGGTTCTTTTTTTCTTGGTCATCAGATACAATGAAGCGAAATGTGGTAGCAGTTCAAAGTGAATGTGCCTTATTAGGCTGTGAAATGGACTAATGATACTGCAAGTGGTGCTGAAAATCCACAGGCGAACTGATATCAGAATCGTATGAACTGGAATATGGACAAGACCGTTTGGATATGCACGTTGGGGCAGTGCAAACGGGCGACCGTGCTGTTGTAATTGACGATTTGGTAGCTACGGGCGGGACTCTTTCTGCTGCAATAAAACTTCTTGGTAATCTATGTTTTAATTTTTCCCCAAGCCAAGTGTCTTTTATAGGACCATGCTACAATAACACCAAGTTTGACACCGCTAGGGTCTTGGAGACAATATAAGTTCTCACTTGTTTGTGCAAAAACTAGCTTCATGGTGTTAACCTTGGTGTGAAACTTTGTGTTATTGTAGCATTATTGACCTTTATATGTAAAGGCTCTTGACACCAAAGGCAAACGCCAACTGTTGTCTGTAGGTGCCTTTGGTGTCAAAAGTGGGGTTCTCCAAGCTTTTTCCTTAACGCAATGAAAGATTTTGGTTTTCTTTTTACTCTTTTTCTATGATCATAGAGCGAATGGGAGCTGAGGTGGTCGAATGCGGTTGTGTCATTGGCTTGCCAGAAGTTAAGGTACTATATATTACTTCTAACATTTTTGGTTTCCCATACTATCCTTTAATGGTTGTTGGGTCTAAAGAGGGATATATAAAAAAACAGGGGCAAACCAGGCTAAAAGGAAAACCAGTCTATATACTTGTCGAGCCACGGGAATTAGGAGATTGATGTTGAGGTACCATCTAGTTTCTCATCACATTCCTATAATACGATGACTAAACACGCGTGTAATGCGGGTTTCTTTTCGTTTTTGCATTCTTTATTATAGGAAGGAAAATGATATGGTGGTTGATATGTCAAGAAGATGTTGTGTTTGGCCGAAAAGCTTCTGGATTCTGAGTCGTCGCACGGCGGGGCCGAGGCTTTAGCTAGTTAATTTTAAATGTGTACCCTCTTATTTTCATTGCTTCAAAGATGAATATATGTCCTAAATGATGTGTAGAGTTCAAGAACTACTTTTCTTTTCATTGATTTAAGCCATGATATGGTTCATGTTTGTTATTCCTTTGCATTTTGTGCATCTCTCCCATAGTTCAAAAGTTGTGCTTCTATAATCCTATAATTTGCATGTGAAATGTAGATATACCCAAGAACAACGTAAAAATTTGTCATATAAATCTGATTTTAAAATTATATACTCGATTCTAAAGACATTTACAGACGATGATTGTCTTTGTAGCCCAAATAATGATTATGTTTGAATGTTTATGAAACATTTAATATCAAACTTTTGTGTGAAAGTTGGTGGGTTTATAATATAGTCCATTTAGAAATATATTGTAAAATTTATATGCCTTGCATTTGAAAATTATGCCAAAATATTCACAGAATAATGAAGTGATATGACTTTATTATTTCATCGAATAATAGATGAAAATCGTAACTTGTTTTATACATTTGTTTATATATTTTTAAAATAAGTAATTTAGAAGAGACAATTAATTTAGAAGAGAAGCAAGGAGTATAAAGAAAATAAATTTGACTAGTTAAGGACTTAAGGTTTAAAGAATCCAACGAGAAATGGAAGGAATATTATCTTAATTTGAGCAAGGCCAGAGATAAATAATGAGTTTAGGGAAAACTTAGTGAAAGAGATTGATTTGACAAAAAGTGCTTTTTTCATTCTTAAAACCAAATTTTGTCCATTTATCTATCCTTATTTCAAACCCTCTTTATTTATTAAAAAGAATTGATTTGACAAAAAGTGATCTTTATCATTTACACACTCCCTCCCAAAATTAATTACAAATTTTTTATTTATGAGAAAAATTCTGCATTTTTTAAATAAATTATCTAAAAAATGGTATATGAAAAATTAATAAAATTTACATATCAAAAAGTATGTCAAAAATTATACTCCATTTGTCGTAAAATGATCTTCCTAGTTACTATTCACATGATCAAATTTTGATCACTTTTTTTAATTTATTTCCATTAATTATTTGATAAAATAATATAATCATGTTAGCACTTGTTTTGTAGAAATATTGATGTAGTTTTAAAATATATAATTTCTATTTTTTAGTTTTTATATATAATCAAATAAATTTGATTGAAAATAATTTCAGTCAAACTTCATAAAGCAAGCTGGAAAGATCATTTTAGGGCGTAGGGAGTACAAAACAAGAACTGAACAAAATATTTTATTTTATTGAATAACCAATGAAAATACATAAACAAATAAATATTTTCGATATCTAAGTCCCAAAAAATTTATAATCCATTTAAAGACGTACGGAGGGAGTATGTATCTAAGTATTTTCAATTAGTGAAATTTGCAGTAAATAGAACTAAAACATAATGACTTTCATAATGTAGACTTAAACTTTTTTATTCCCTAAATATGATTTATTAATGACTTAGTGGAAAGAACAATGTCCAATAATGATGGACATTTAGTTGAATAATGACTACTTGATAATGACCAAATGTCCTACATTGGGAAATAAAAACATATGGTTCTATATTGGAAAAGTCATTATGTTTTAGTCCTATTTATGTAAATTTCCCTTTCAATTATAATTCACCCAATCATATTTTATTCATTTCATGTATGTCTATTTTCATTAGTTATTGAATTAACTAATACTCCATCGATTTTAAAAAAAGTTTATTGCATGTTTGAAATGACACAAAGTTTAAAAATAGTTTTTGAGATTTCCTAAAATAGGACTAAAACATAAATCATTTTTCCCAATGTAGGACTTACACTTTTGTATTTCCTAAATAGCACTTAATAATGTCTAGTGGGAGAAATAATATCTAGTGATGATGGACATTTACTTGAATAATGATTAATGGATAATAACCAATGGTTTTATATTGGGAAATAAAAACATATATATGATCCTATAATAAAAAAATTATTTTGTTTTAGTTCTATTTAGATAAATTTTGCAAATAGAAACGATAAAATATTTTTTGAGACGTCCTAAAAAAGAAATAAAGAGTCTTTCTTTAGGAACAAGAAATTAAAGTATAATCATTTAACATGTTGTGCAATAAATCTATCTTTTGTGATTTGTACCAAAAACACATGCTCATGCAATGTCTCATTTAACTTTGTCTCGATATAAATTTTCGTAATATACCAAAAAAAAAAATAAATATACAAAGAAACTATGGAGTACTTTTTTTAAAAAAATGTGAGAAACATGAAAATCTTGATAATGTATATATAATTAAATACTCCCTCCGTCCCTTTAAATACTCTCTCCGTCCCTTGAATAGATTTAAGGGGAGTGTATTTAAGTATTGAATTTCTAAAAATGTTAGTTGATGCGATGAGTAAGGGTAGCATTTGATGGATAGATTATTACTAAAAAAAGTATGATGTGATAGGTAGGGTATGAAAAGATAATGGATAAAAGTGACTTTTTAATAGAAATAAGAAGTGTTTTTGGAACGGATGAAAAAAGAAAAGAGAAAGGTTTTCAGGGACGTAGAGAGTATATTGAATTGAAAATAATTCAGCCAAACTTCGTAAAATAAAATGGAAAGATCATTTTAGGGAGTAGGGAGTACAAAACAAGAAGTGATAAAAATATTTTATTTTATCGAATAACCAATGAAAATACATAAACAAACAAATATTTTCGATGTCTAAGTTCCAAGAAATTTATAATCTATTTCAAGACGGAGAGAGTATGTATCAAGTATTTTCATGTCGCCTAAAACTTGCATGTCAATTATAATTCACCCAATCATATTTTATTCATTTCATGTGTGTCTATTTTCATTAATCATTCAATAAACTAATACTCCCTCGGTTTAAAAAAAAATTTATGTTTGACTTGACACAATTTTTTTTTGAGATGTCCTAAAAAAGGAAACATAAAACATTTTTTGAGATGTCCTAAAAAAATAAAAAATCTTTCTTAAGATGAAGAATAATACTCCCTCCGTCCTGAAACTTTCTTCCCACTTCCCCTTTTTCTCCGTCCTAAAACTACCTTGCCATTAGAAAAAAAATGATGACAAATGATATTAATACCCTCATGTTTTTACACCAATTATCTTCTAACTCTATATATTTAATGATTACAAAAAAAATTCAAAAAATCTTTTTTAAGAAGGATAAAATTTGAAGTCAAAACCAAAAATTAAAAATGGGGAAAAGTCAAACTGGGAAGAAAGAATTAGGACGGAGGGAGTACTCCGTAATCATTTAACATGTTGTCTAATAAACATATCTTTTGTGATTTGTACCAAAAGCACATGTTCATGCAATGTCTCATTTAAATTTGTCTCGAAATAAATTTTCGTAATATACCAAAAAATAATTAAAGATATAAAGAAACAATATATGGAGTACTTTTCAAATAAAAAAAATATGAGAAACATGAAAAATCTTGATAATGTATTTATGGAGGAAAGGTAGGCTAAAAGAACACAGTGGCCCATAAGATATCAGCACTGGGCCTCCAAATCTTCACTGACATTTATGTTTGCCAACTGCACGATAAAGTTTTCCTTTTTAAACCTACTACGTACGCATTCTTCACACATGCTACGTGCCTACATTCTCTCAAAGTAACCATTTTTAAGTTGGTTACAAAATTAAAAATTAATTTCTCTATTCTTGAAAACTCTTTTTGTTTTAACTTTTTTAGTTAAGTACTCACACTCTTTGATCTTAAATTAGGCATAACCTAATTAAAGAAATCTTGTAAAAATGTCATATATCAAAACTGCATTCTAAGATAAACCCCTCTTGATGAGTTTTAAATCCCGGGACCTGGGAAACTAGGTAGGAGAGAATTGATTAAGGGTTGAGTGCCTTTTTGGTCGCAAGAGTGCAAAGTAAGTATATTTGTTTGATAGAGAACATGTCCTTCTCTCCCCAAGAGGGAGGGCCGGAGGGGTATTCATACAATACATTTGTCCTATACTTGTGTTTCTTGGTCGTTGTCTACGACAGGACCTAGTGAGCCAGGCCTGTTGGAATCATGTCTTTGACTAATAATACAAGAGATGTAATTAAAATAATAAAATAGTATTGCAACAAATAATATGCAAACGAGTAGTAATAGGGTGGCCCTTGTGTGGGCCCGTTGAGTAGACAAGGAAAATAGGATCTCATGCTCGTGATAAGGTTGTCTTGCTTCTCTGGCAGCAGGGTTTCGAGCACGCGATTTCGTTGCTCGAAGACAACCGAGTAAAGATTTGCCCGGGTCTGCCTCTAGGTCCGAGTGCATGGGTTCGAGCTGAGTAGAAACGCGTGTCTGAGTGCAGTTGCCACTCTGAAGGCTTGGTTTCCTTTAAGTCTTCTCAACCAAGTAATGTGTTTTTTTACCGAGCGCGTCTGATTCTTGCGACTATATGGGCCATGCGTTGGGCTGTCATTGTTTTTGTTGGGTTAGATACACCCCAGTCCATGGTATCCATCACAAATATATTAAATTTATATCATAATTTAATATATTTTTTTCAAAATTTGTAATCAAAGTGTGTCATAGTTTAACCAAAAAAAGTCAAAACAAAAGAAGTTTTTTAAGAAAGGGGGGATTAAATAAAGGTGGACATAACTGAGCTTCTCCCTTGATGGGAGTGTAAGAAACTCACTCTTCTTGATTCGAAAAACTCACACATATTCAAATTACAACAGAAGCGGAGATATTGGCTCATTGTCAAGGAACCAATTCAACCAAACGCTCAAGCTTGTGGTTGTGGCCCAAGAATAGTTATTTACTCTCTCCGTCCCATAAAGTGTTACCCACATTGACTAAAGTAGAAATTAAGGGAGGGATAATTTTGGGTTGACTTTCCAAAAATACCCTTGATGTGATGGGTAAAAGTAGGATGTGATGTGTAGATTATTAGGAAAAAGGTATGATGTGATAGGTAGGGTTTGAAAAAGTAAGGGGTAAAAGTGGTTTTTTAATAGAAATGGGTAGGAGATTGTGGGACACAATTTTTTTGAAAGGTGTAAATCTTTTTGGGAGGAAGGGAGTATATTCTA